ACGGAGGAGGTCTCTTTTGTCTAGTTGGGTGGTAGATTCTCTTGCTTCAGGTAGGCCAAGAGCTCCAGCGTTTGCTAGAGAGTCTGCCAGCTCATTACCAGGAATTCCAACGTGAGCTGGAAGCCATTGCACTGTGACTGACTTTCTCCTCTTGAACAATCTAGGACAGGGGTCAGCAAACTTTTGAGTCAGAAGAGTCAAAAATGACAATTTACAAAATATCAACATTTTTAAAAAGCCACAAAATATTTTCTTGCCATCATTAAATAGTTTTTTGCTTATTCTAGTACACATGGTACAGACCATGATAATCACTTAGTTCTAGTCTATAAAAATAAAGGACACCTCTCCTGTCAAAATAGACATCAAAGCTAGATGCCATCACTTAGTTCAATTGTCAATTTGACCAGAGAGGCGCCTTTTATTTATATAACTCAATTTCCTCCTGCCAAAATTTATATTTTTGCCCATAGAATTGGTTTATCCACTTTACTAGCAAAACACCTCTCTGGCAAATTGTGAAGATTTCATTTGATTCCTTGCGGATCTTTTATGAAATAATGCCCGCCCAAGACTGACGAGAGCCATTAGCCCGAAACCATGGTCTCTAGGTGGACGCTTCTCAGTTTACTAAAGCTGGTGTTGTGGCTTTGTCACTGACCTGTGTCTGCTAGCTTGTTGAGATGGTCAATAGATGGGGCTTATAGTTCTGGCTTCTATTTTGACAGGGGAGGCTAACTTTATATATTTTTATATATATCCCTTTAATTTTTCCATTGCAGTAAGGGCAGTAGAAATTGTTTAGTTTCAAAAAGAATTTTACGCGTTTAAAATAGTTTAGAATTTTGATAACAGATGGCGCGCTTTAAAGAGAAAATAAAAATATGTCATGTCTCCTCTAACATATGCAAATCAGTACAGATGTATAGAAAGGCCATTGTAGATATTTGTGGTAGTAACATCTGATGTCAGGTACTTACATGCTGACACTTTAGGTGAAGTAATGTTATAAAAGAATCTTATTTTATCAAATACTTCAAACAGGAACATCTCTGCGAAGTAAGAGCAAGGAGTTGTTCCACTCAGGATCATGTTTGGCTCCAGATTGGTTGTGGTCCCCGGAAGAGTCCAACCCCAAATACTGGCAGGTGCTGGAGCAGTTCCAGGATGATCCGTCCGCCACCTTCTCTATCCACCAAATTGGTGAGTTCTCTTTTATCATACTTTAGACACATGCATACACACACATATATACATAAGCATGTGCACTTGCACACATGCATACACACATATACACATACTAAAGAGACAAAGGTCGCTTTGATATCTATTTTGACGGGAGAGGCGACCTTTGTCTCTTTAGATCAATATCCTCCCCGCAAAATTTCCATCTATATACACATACATACACACAAGCATACATGCATACACACTTATACACATACTAAAGAGACAAAGGTCGCTTTGATGTCTATTTTGACGGGAGAGGCGACCTTTGTCTCTTTAGATCAATATCCTCCCGGCAAAATTTCCATCTATATACACATACATACACAAGCATATGAACATATACACATGCACACACACACACAAGTTCTTCCTGACCACCAGGTTATATTCTTTCTTTCACTTCTCAGCCTTACATTCAAATTTTGAAACACACACACATACATACACACAAACGACGCGAGGCCTTAAGGAGGGTATTGCTTTGGAAAAAATCGCAACCCGCGTCGTCATCCGAAATAAAGGCAACGTCCTATCGGCGTTTATCTCATATGGAGTCAAGTGCTCCAGATGCGGCCGTCAAGGTCACCATAGGGCCAACTGCCCCATCATTCCTGGGAGAGCCTCCAACAACGGCCAGCCACAACCGGCACCCCTTCCACCTGGTGCTTCGTCCACCGAGTCCCGGCAGCCGAACCGCCCAACACCAGCGGCTCCAGCTCCGTCACCAAAGCGCCCTGCGCCACAGACATCAGCTCCCGGCACTTCTGCCTCCCTGCCTACCAGAACATCCTCAGACGCCGTGGCTCCTCCTTCTAAGCCCATGGAGATTGCAGCCGAGGTGCTGGCGCCGCCCACCTCCAACAGAGCCCTACAGGCAATGGAGCCAACAGAGGCACCAAAGGCACCCGCGGACCCTCGCCCTCCGGCCTCTCAGCCCCACGGAGAAGTGCTTCAAGCCCTGCCAGCCTCCGTCGCCCCTCCTGGTCCTCTGCATGCAGAGGGGACCCTTGTGCCGCCCTCCCCGTCATCATTAGGGCGTAAGACGAGACCCGACCTTGAGGCCTTCCTCAAGAGAAACCCCGGAGTTTCGTTTGCTGGAACGGGCGCCCTTGGTCTTGGGCGGGAGGAGGTCCTGGACCTCCTCTCCTCGAAGACCAAGGCGCGAAAGCGCGGTCAGCATCTAACCCCTCCGCAGAGCAATGCTCTTGCCGGCCTAATAAACCAAATCCTCGACCTAAGGCCCGGAGTAAATAGCAACATTTATAAGGTCTTGCGACAGGTCTTGTCAGAGCTGAGGACCGGTCCAGCCGCAGTGCCCCCTACATCCACACTGCCTGCGCCTCGACCATCTCATCCAACGCCGCTCACTTCCAACAAGCTGACACCTGCTTTGATTACACCCCCGCCGCCCGCCCCGACGGAGATGGAGGAGGACGTTCCGATGACAGAAGAAAGAGCGCTGTGTACCCCCACTGCCTGCGCCTCGGCTCGCTGAGCCAACACCGCCCACTCCCCAGGGGCAAAAGACGACACCGGCCACGACTACACCTCCGCTTCCACCGCCTGACCCGATGGAGGACGACGACGACCTGATGCCGGAGTTAGATACAACCTTCAATGAAATTGGGCCCCTGCTGGAGCCTGGGATTTCCCTGGATGCCGTCATGTTTGCGATCTTATACCGCGAGGATAGATTGGATCTACTCAAAGATCTCTCACCTGAGCAGGGGAGTACCCTCGCGGGCTTCCTTGACGCTGCTCTCGAGCGAACTCGGAACAGCCATCCCACCATTCGCAGGGGTATTCACAAGCTAAGGATAGCCTTGCCCTCCTGATCAATGTACATAGTTTGCCCTTTTGACTCCTCGTGAGTAATTGTTGACCAGCGGTCAATAAAAATTATTTAATTGTCAAAAAAAAAAAAAATTGTCATACACATGCATACACACACATATACCTACACACACATATACCTACACACACATACACATACATGCACATATGCATGCACACAGACAGCCATATTGTTCCCCAACACCATGATAGAAACAGTGATGTAACAAGATGTGTTCCAGCCCTGGCAGGAGAGACCTTCCTGGAGACCCAGGTGGGGGAATGGTTTGGTCCCAACAAGGTGGCTCAGTGCCTCAAGTAAGTCTTCACCTCACCTACAACTGAGACATTCTCTGTCAAATGATTGGTTATGATCGCAGAATTTCTTATGGCAAAAATAGCAAAAAGCAAAACCAATACATTAGCTTTTTCACAAATTCTGGAAAACACCACAGACAATAGGGTACAACACAGATGATAGATCCAACTTGAAGAAAGGTCGATGTTAATCTCCACTTTCTGTAGATAACTGTTTTTTTTTTTTGCCTATCCCTAGTACACGTGGTACAGGCCATGATAATCATGGTGGGTAGAAGTAGGCAACTGCTTTTACTGTAAGTGCACCACATGTCCACACATGTGAAAAGCAGTTTGACTTTGCATTTACAAATGTGTCAGAGCCCCATTTGGTTACTTGCACTTGCTGGAAGGGTTGGACTTTTGCAAGAATTGGGGCCATTGGAGCATTTTTTTTTTTTTTTTTATCAGAAAAAAGTTTCTAATGCAGGAATTGAACCTGGGTTGTAGTGGTCAAAAACCAACAGTTTAGACCATCCTTCCACCGACACCCCATTGTTATGTTTACCTATCTGGGAGAAACCTGTATGGGATGATTGTCTTTAATAAAGGCTTTTATGTTTCTCACCAACACTCCCTTCCATAGCTGGAGAGTTAATGGCACACACACATAGAACAGAAGTCTCTCTAACTCCTCTATTTATCACTGTCTTGAAGGGTATCTCTCCAGTACAGTAAAACCCCGCTAAAGTGACCCAGGGATATAACAAACCTTCCCTTTTATAATGAACCTAAGGTTATCCTCAATTCCATTCAAAATTTCATTGATTTAAAGAACTTTAGAGTTTTAAAAGAATAATTGACCATTATTAAGAGGTAACCTTTGTTTCTGCATGTATGACTGTCCTTTAATTTTACATTCTAAAAATCTCATGGAATGGGGTGTAGGGATGCAGCTTTTGTTGATCATGGCACCATGGCACACTTTGGTGAAAGTCTGACTTTGTCTGTAATTTGAGGCTGTTCCTTACATGGAAGCATACGCCTTTGCTGCGGACTCTAACATGAGTACAGATGTAGCTCCTCCATATCCCTGGAGAGGGACCCTTGCGCTGAGGTCTATCAACCAGGTCAGTTGAAGTCAGGATTTTTAAAGAGGTCTTTCTCCTCTTCTAACAATGTTGCTGTTGGTTCACGACTGCTCATCAGAGTTATTCTGCCTGTGTAATCTTTACACAAGGGGATAAGAAACAACAACATTCTAAAAATAGCCAAATCGTGGCTATAGTGAAGGAAAATTTTGGTCTCATCAGGGTTCACTATAGAGGGATGTTTTACTGTATGTGGAATAGAGAGCTGTGTGAAGTCTAAACAACAGAGGTTTCATTTGTTATCTGATAACAGTAGATAAACAATGGTAGATTAACAACTATCTACGATTAAGCGTTTCACTAAGAGGATACAACACAACAATGGTATACTTTGAATGGAGTTTAACAAGTTTTACCGCAAATGTTTCTTTTTACAGAACGAAAAATTGTATTTTAAATTATTTTTAAGGAGAAATAACGACTATTTCTATCCTTAGGGATGAAGTATGAAAGGATGAATTGTGAAGAATAATGATGAACGGAAAATAGTGTCCAGGGATGAAAATCGAACCCACAGTGTTCCGCTTACCAGACAGATGCCATTGTCCACTAGGCTACCCAGTGGACATATATTTTTCCGTTCGTAAATATTATATAAAGAGAGTTAATTCATCCTTTCATACTTCATCCTTAAGGATAAGAAGAGTCGTTATTTCTCCTTAAATAATTAAATTAAGATTTTTCGTTCTGTAAAAAGAAATATTTGCGGTAAAACTTGCTAAACGTTGTTCTATAATTATTAGCCACATTATATTGCATTATAAATGTTATACTTTATTTAAAATATCATACACATGATAAATATAAAGCACAATTTGGATTATAGACTATGTACACAAGGTAATAAGACCAAATATAAATAGTGTGTGACGTTTCTGTAACAGCATTGTTACCATCATCAGACAAAAGTACTTTTTGTGTGTTATTCAGTACTTTTGTCTGAGATGGCTACAATGCTGTTGCCGAAACGTCACACACTATTTATTTGGATTTGGTCTTATTTCCTTGTAGCTATAATCTATAATCCAAATTGTGCTTTATCAATGTTATACTTTATTTAAAATATTCTACACATGATATATAAGGCACACTGAAAGCCTAGAAGAAATGACACACCCACTACATCTCTGAATGCACTATTGTTAACGAGGAACGGAATAAGATCTTAAAGAACATTATCTAAGTCTACGTGAACCCAGTTCAGCTAATCAGAATAATGTCCGAGATAAAATATATAGCGATAGAATTGTTTAACTTTCATAAAGCGTTAGAGAACAAGGTAATCTCTAAGAACTAAAATTACAGAACAATTTCCTTCCAAAGTTAATTTGTATAGTTATGTTGAATACTTGGATTTCCTTTTCATTTTCCCTTCTCTCCTTTGTTTACGTTTCTTTTCTTTTTTTTTTTCCTTTTGTCCGTGGAAATGATGTATGGCGATATATAAGGCACAATTTGGATTATAGATTATAAACACAAGGTAATAAGACCAAATCCAAATAAATAAATAGTGTGTGACGTTTCGGTAACAGCATTACAAAAGTATCATTCAGTACTTTTGTCTGAATATGGTAACAACGCTATTACTAAAACATCACACACTATTTATTTGGATTTGACCATAATACCTTGTGTTTATAATCTATAATCCAAATTGTGCCTTATAATTGAGAGTGTGTAAAATCTCAAGTTCTACAATTGTTTAAACCATGGTTCTAACACCAGTCAGATGTTTGACTGTCTGTTCCTCTCATAAAAGCTTGCTTCACCCACACATCCTCACCTGTTCCACCAATGGCAGTGGTTTTTCAGGAGCCTCAACAATGCCATGGAGAACCGTGCCTTAGAAATCTATGTTTCCATGGACCAGAGCATTGTCATCAGTGATTTAAGTAAGTCTTATCCCCATAGCCGCCATGTTTAAATCACTCGCTGCTATGGTACTAGCTTGTGGTGCCACCATAGTAATAGATTTACCCCAGGTCCCCAACATTCTTCTTCTTTCTTATTTACTCACATGTAATAGGAGATTGTATTTATGATAAAATTGTGAAAAACTTTTTAAAAATACAAAAATATTTTCTCAAAATGAGTTTCTTTTTATGATAAAGCATAATTTGAATTGTTTTACTGTACCTTACGGGGTTTTACTGTATAAAAAAAGAAGGCATATCCTGACCACAAGCATTTGCTTTTTAGATGGCTTGTGCCTTCTTTGGTAGATATGCCTTCTTTATTTTTTATATCAACACCTGACCTTTTTATTTATTTATTATTATTTTTTTTTCGTATATAAATGTGTTTGTTGTTTCTTTTACTCTTGTGTAAAGATTACATGAATTCCAAGATCTCATAGGGGTGCAGCTTTCGTTGATCATGGCACCATGATCCAGGCACACTTTGATATAAACCTGTCTATAGCGCCCCCTCTAAATAGCGCCTTCCTCTCTATAGTGCCCGATTTTAAATACGTAGTACGATGCAACTTACATTAAAAGTGACCTGTCTATAACACCCCCTTTCTATAGCACCCTATTTTGGTGAGTCCCAAGAGGGGGCGCTATAGACAGGTTTAACTGTATATTTATACTCTTCAAAACTAGTTTAAATTTCTTAGTATTGATTTCTCCTCCCAAAGAAATGTTGTTTCATTAACTGCGTTAGTTGGATAGCTAGATGTTTATCCCCAGTGTCTGACCAGGCTGTGTGACAGAGGACCTATGTAAGAAATCTGCCAGCTCCCAAGAAGGAGACAAGAAATCCTGGAAACCATTGGTCCTGGTGCTGCCATTGAGATTTGGCCTGAATGACTTCAACCCTACCTACACCACCTCCTTCATGGTACCTCTTTCTTGGTCTTCTTCTTTCTTATCTCCACTCAATTATATCAAGGTATCAAGTTGTGACCCTTGATGGTGTCTGTTTGACAACCATCATGACTGGGTGAAGTAGAATGCGTCTGCCTTTGTCATTAAGACTTGGAGCACTACTCAGTAGCAGGTCGACTTAGCTCCAAAAGAAATGGCCACCTCTGACATGAGGAACAGACGCCATGTGCAGCCGCTCCTAACATGGAGTACAAACGCGGCTCATCCTGGAGCCTTTACAGGGTACTATCAGCCAGGCCAGCTGAGCCCAGGTTTTTTACTGCGCTTGTTACTTCTCCCTCTCCACCTTTTTCATCCGGGCTTGGGACCGGCAAAGGCGGAGTTAAAAGTCCTTCTTAGTTGTTGTTTCTTATTCCCTTGTACAAATATTACATCATCTTTCTTGTCTTCACTCAATCATATCAGGGTATCAAGCCTATAGAGCTTGTTGATGGTGTCTACTGGGGATGAGTAGAGCTCATCAATGGAGAACCATCATGACTGGGTGAAGTGATTATATGAATTCCATGAGTCCATGCTCCTCCAACTGTTTGATGATAAGCAGCGGCCTCTCCCAAAGGTCCTGTTTAGTACATCTAATGCAAGCCAAAATGTGTTTTGAAGCTGCAGACACCAAGCTACATACAAATGGAAAGTGTTGTTGTTTCTTATTCCCTTGTGTAAAGATTACACAAATTCCATGAGTTCATGCTCCTCAAGCTGTTTGATGATAAGCAGCGGCCTCTCCCAAAGGTTCTGTTTAGTGCATCTAATGCAAGCCAAAATGTGTTCTGGAACTGTAGGTGCCAAGCTACATTATGGGCAAGTGGGGTAGATTTTGTTGTTATTTTCTATCTTCAATGGCTTGAGATGGCCTGTTCTAAATCTTGTTAGTGTTGTTTGGTGCTGCCTGATGTTCAGAGCTTCTCCTGGGTTCACTCCACTATACCAGCTGTGCTTAGGTGGGATCCTCCAGTTCTTGTTTATTTTTGTTCTGTTACTGTTTCTATTTCTTTAAAGGTAAATTTATTTTTCTGTGGCAAGGGTTCTTTTGTGCCTTTTTTCGCTAGCACATCAGCAGCTTCATTGCCTTCAATTCCAACATGTGAGGGTATCCATTGAAGGTGAATTTTTGAGAGTTTTTGGAGATAGCCAATTATGTTCCTGGTGACTTTGTCTCTAAGTTCCCCTGTATGACTCAAGTGTTGTATGGCACTTCTACTATCAGTAAGAATCCATATATCTTGATAATTAGTATTTCTGATGAATTTTAAGGCTTCATAGATGGCTATAAGTTCTGATCTGAAGACTGAGCAAAAATCTGGGTTTCTTCTGTTTATTTTCCCTATGCCAGTTGTAGTTTTAATGAGGCAGCCACTGTCCCATCCAAATTATCTCTGTTACCATCGGTGTAGATATTTATTGCATTTATAGGAATGTTGTTACTTATTTCTAATGATGTTGTTGTTTCTTATCTCTTGTGTAAAGATTAAATGAATTCCATAAGTCCATGTTCCTCAAGCTGTTTTATGATAAGCAGTGACCGCTCCCAAAAGTCTATTTCTAATGATAATTGTTTTAAGCATTGTGGATTTTGGTATTGTTTGTTGGTGGGTTCATTTAAACAAATGGAAAGTAAATATCTTTTTTTTCCCCCTTTTCCCTAGTACACGTGGTACAGGCCATGATAATCATGGTGGGTAGAAGTAGGTGACTGCTTTTACTGTAAGTGCAGCACATGTCTACATATGTGAAAAGCAGAAGTAAATGTCTTTAAGGATGTTGTTATAGCTAGGTTTGACTGCATATGTTTCTAGGTAGATCGCCATGTTGAAGTAGAGGTCTCTGTGTTTCCAGATGGCTCTGACAATGAAGCAGAGCCTGGGGATCATCGGAGGCCGGCCCAGCCACGCCGTCTATGTGGTGGGCAGCGTAGGGAAGGAGATCATCTTCCTGGACCCGCACACCACCCAGCTGGCCTATGGTCCAGGGGGCAAGCTGGAGGACTCCACCTTCCACTGTAGGGATCCTGGCAGGATGGACCTGCTGTGTCTGGATCCTTGTATGGCCATGGTAGGTCTCTGTATCAAATCCTACAAAATCTGGGAAAACCCCAGGACTATAATAGAAAAGCTGAGACAATGGGACCTAATGGAGATGGTTTAAACGACTTGAGGAATAAGCAACAATAGCAACAACATTGTTGGGACTTCCACTCTCATTATAGTCCAACAAGAAAATAAGGCCTAATCCAATAATTTTTTTTTTTGCTTATCCCTAGTACACGTGGTACAGGCCATGATAATCATGTTGGGTAGTTAGCGACTGCTTTTACTGTGAGCGCACCACATGTCTACACATGTGAAAAGCAGTTTGACTTTGCACTTACAAATATGCCAGAGCCCCGTTTGGTTACTTGCACTCGCTGGTGGGGTTGGACTTTTGCAAGAATTGGGGCCATTGGAGCATTTTTTTTTTTTAAACAGAAAAAAGTGTCCAATGCGGGAATCGAACCCAGGTCGTAGTGGTCGAAAACCAAACGGTTTAACCAGCCTTCCACCAACCCCCAATCCAATAAATAAATAGTGTGTGACGTTTCGGTAACAGCATTGTTACCATCATCAGACAAAAGAATAACAAGACACTATCAATTTATTTAGATTAGGTCTTATTTTCTTTTAGCTATAATCTCTAATCCAA